TGGCCCACGGTCTGCTGTTTTTTCGATTTATCATCATGGTTGAAATCGATGACTCGTCGGTCCAAAAAATATTTTTTAAATAAGCATCATTCCCGTTAATTTTTCCATTGCAAAACTCAACCCTTTTTTCTCGATGTCTGGGCGTTAATTTCCTGGTAGGAATAATTTTGAATGCCTTGTATTCTGATTTTTTGATAATATTTAATATTAATAATATTAATATTTGATAATAAACTCTTCTTTCGGGCTTTCCAATATTTCTCTTCAGGAAATGTTGAGATTTTCTTCAATTTTTAGTAAAGTCCTAAAATCTTTTCGATCGGACTAGGCTGAATGTTTGTTAAAATTTTTCATAGATTCGATGAAAGACTTTTTGTCTGGAACTTGCATTCTGGGGTTAATTACACATAGTTTCCTTTGAGCCAATTTCGCACCCATATTTGCTTTAACAAACGTCTCCCACATTAATTGTTTTTCTGTTTCAGAATGCGGCATGTAACTAGTCACTTCCAAAATAAAATTAGTGAAAAATATAATACTGTAAAATAAATGCAGATCAAAGGAAAGGAGCAACGCAGTTGCTTCGTCGAGAGTTCTTAATTAAGTGGCCGATATTATTCAGAAGTACCAATAAATTAAAAAAATCATAAAAGTAACAGCAACCCTTAAATAGAAAAATGTCTAAAAGATACAGATGTTAAACGACCATTATCAAATAATACAATTTATGATTCTTCATAAATGTCAATACAAATATGTTGTTTTTTTGTTTTGACGACCTACTTGACAGCCACCTAAAATATGAATTATAAATTGTAGAATATTATTTTATTTTTGAATGTTGCCTTTCTATTAAAAGCGCATATATCTCAAAAAGTATTGGATTTGGGTATAGGCCACATTATATAAGAAATGTGCATAATTTTTAGGGGTTTTTATTTAATCATATAATACACAGGGTGTTCCATTAAAAATATATAATTGTTTGTGTTTGCCAATCAATTTTTTCAGCTTTTGTATTTGATATTTTTCTCCCAAATGTTAAATAAAAAAGTGAAAGGAGGGTGGGGGATATACAATACATATCTAAGAAAAGGTTGTCATTTTTTTCCAAAAGTGTGATTTACCCCATATATACGCGAATGGAATTGCTAATTGCCTAATGGGCAAACTTTACTCTCATAGGATTCGTATTTGACTAGTTAAATTTGTGTCCTAATTTGGATTTTTAAAAAGAAAGAAAAACTTCCACACCCTGAGTTTTAAAAACGGACCAGTTTACAATCAACCAATTCGAGTCGTGCTGTGTGTAGGTTTGTACCTAAAAAATGTGTTCAAAATTATAACAATGTTTTGTGGACCTAAAAATACTTTGGTGCGAGGGACGTTTATTAAAAAGTCACCACAGCAATTTATTTTGTACCTATACTAAAGAAATCATGTCCATTACTAACTTCCATTTCTGGGCGAAGTAAAAATTTATGCCTGTCAAAAGGTGATCTTTAATAACTTTTGTTTCCCGTTTTAGTCAATGCAGTGTTAAGTAGACTCTGGAAGGTTGAGTCATCGATCGAAGTTTCAAAATACTCGAAAATCTTGAGCAGACATTCCAATTGTCAAATCTAGAATATTTATCATAGCCCTAAACTGGGGCGACAAGTGGCAGCCAAGCGGAAATTCCTGGGAAAATTTGAGGGATGCAATTTGCAGTCTCTAGCCTCTTAAGCAGAATCTGAGTTATAAAATTCTCAATACCGGCAAGTATACCAGTCGATGCGCTATACTATACTGTAAGTAGACCAGAACCGTTTTTTTTTATTCAGTCTTAATTCTGATTTCACAAAATAATTGTTAGAGCTTGTCACTGGTGATTTAGACGACATTCGTGTTAAGACCATATTCTAGTATCGTTGTTTTGGTAATACAATTACGAAAATAAGGCAGAATGACTGAACGCTGCTATTTATTTTTAGTACAATCTAAAATCAAATATCCAAAAATACGCCGGATGTCTCCATTTTATTCATTAACTGACATACGGACCTAGAAAATTTATTTGACAAAAACATAAACATAAAAATTTTAGGTGTTGGCAAATTATTCTTGTGTGCTTAATTTGACGTTGTAATTGCTGTGTGCTTTTACAAAAACTACTGCTGTATGAGTTATTTTTTCAATTATTGCTGTTGTGCTTAATTTGGCGAGGTTATTGCTGCGTGCTATGCTCTAAAACTTTTCCTATGCGTTTCGTTTGATCTCAAAATTCAGTATGACATGATTAAAATTTATGGCTGTGTGCTTGGAATTAAAATTTGTATCTACAGTTTCAGTCTACAGAACGCTCGAAATTAGAATGGCCGGCGTTGTGCTTAAGTCGTATGTTGGCTGTGCCGTAGATCATTTTTGTACATTCACTCAGAGTTCACGAATGCCTTGCCTAGATGCTATTATGGAAAGTCAAAGTAAATTCGAGTGCTACTTGCGTCTCTAAAATAATTTCTATAAATATAATTTGTCAGTTCACATTTAACACAATGAAGCCACAAACGATACTAAAAGCTCGAACCATAAGTCAATTTCTTAAGTATAACAAAACATGTCAATGCACAAAGCAGACACAGACCAGCAAATAAGAGTGCTTGGTGGTGGGTCCGTTTTTATCCAATAATCGCAAATACTTTTACGTGACTAGGCAATACTTGGACGATATTTATAAAAAATTGTGTAATATGTCGTGTTTGAAAAGAACTTTATTATATTATTTTTTATTATAATATACCAAAAAAATCATTTTGCCGATTTTGTTTAGGATGGTAAAGTCATAATTTTCAAAATACTCGGTTCATCGTCAAAAGATTTCAGCTGAGCGTTTTATATTAGACTTTTATGCTACTGGGATCTTGTAACCGCAAAGAGATACAGGGTAGCTCAAACTAGAACAAAATTGAAATATGAATAGTCTTGAAAAATGTAATTTATTGGTGATGTGAATAGGTACTAAAATATCATCCAATTCACATCATTAGAGAGAATTAGAGTAATGCAATATGTGTAAACGTCATTTGATTTGGTATCAGTGGAGAGCAGGTAGTGAGGATTTACTAAACGAGTGACTGAAAACTGTTTATCAACGTGTCCATACTAGACTTGCGTACTACAACCATTAGTTTTTGGTACATTTTTGCAAAATAGCACTAATACACATACACATGTGACGTGAACTTTAGCACTGATAAAATCTACAGCAAACACCTGACCTGAGCATACTTGAGTATTTAGGGCAGCGGGTAGAAAATAGTATACCATGCAACAAGTGTGGTATACGGCACTTGAGTCACGAGTTTATTTGGCGGAGCAAGTGCTTAATAAACGAGTGATTTAAAGACTTTACTAAACGTGTTGCATACTATACTTTTTCTACGACCGTTAAGTTTTGAGTACATTTTTGCAAAACAATAAGAATACATTCACTGACATCAGAATTGACAAACGTCAAAATTCAAGCGGTGCGGTAAAATCTCCGCAAACATCCGGAAATGTCCGAAGTTGCTCGAATCCGTGGAGGACGAAACTGCCTTGGTAAAATCACACTTCCCTCGCACTAGATCGCTGTATAATTAGGTATTTTACAGAAAGGAATAGGAAATAGTATATTATGCAACAAGTGGGGTAAACGGCATTTGGCTCACGAGTTTATTTGGCACGAGCGGCATGAGTGTTTGTTTAATAAACGAGTATCTTAAAAAGGTTACCGAACGTGTTGCATACTATACTTTTTCTACGACCGTTAATTTTTGAGTACATTTTTGCAAAACAATAAGAATACATTCACAGACATCAGAATTGACAAACGTCAAAATTCAAGCGGTGCCGTAAAATCTCCGCAAACATCCGGATGTGTCCGAAGTTGCTCGAATCCGTGAAGGACGAAACTGCCTTGGTAAAATGACACTTCCCTCGCACTAGATCGCTGTATAATTAGATATTTTACAGAAAGGAATAGGAAATAGTATATTATGCAACAAGTGGGGTAAACGGCATTTGGCTCACGAGTTTATTTGGCACGAGCGGCATGAGTGTTTAATAAACGAGTATCTTAAAAAGTTTACCGAACGTGTTGCATACTATACTTTTTCTACGACCGTTAGTTTTTGGGTAGATTTTCGCAAAACAACACGAATACATTCACTGACATGACCGTTAGAATTGACAATTCCAGCTGTGCGGTAAAATCCCCGAAAACATCCGATTGTTCCCACATCCGTGCGGTAACATCCCGGAAATGTCCGAAGTGACTCGGATTCGTAGGACAAGAAATTCAAGTGGTAAAGTAACGTTTCTCGCAAGCTAGATCGGTGTGTAATTAGGTATTTTACAGATGGAAGTAGAAAAATAATATTACAAAAGACATTGCGCAGTCTATATACCCTTAATTTCAATACACAGGATGCAAATTAACATTTTAAAATCCATGTTTGTTCTGACGAACTTCTATGGATTTGCAGTTAATTTTTTGTATTTGGATCGATAGTTTGTTTAATTTGTAAAATTTTGATTTGTAGTTTTTTTGCTTGTATTTATCTTTTCCTGTATTAGGTACGATTTTACATCCCTCCTCCTCACCAACCCTGTGGTTTTAACGATATAATGTTAGTTAGTTTAGATATTTTCATAAACGCAATAATCTTCCTGCACTTTTATAATTTTCCTTCTAAATAGTGATTACCACACTTTTTTTATGAAAACTGAAACACTGCTGAAAAAATGCCATATACCCAAACGGAAAACTGTCGAATTATAAACTACCAGCGGCCATGTCGATTGTTCAAAGTCGAAAGAATAGGTTAGTTGAAAACAAGATTTGAAATAGCGCGTCTTATTTGGTCCTCCTCAACATTTTTTTCTCATGGAAGCTTCAAAAATTCCTGTATTATAAAATACTCGTGGCTTCTATATATTCAGTAGCTATAAAGTTTGGAGTAAATTTATATGGTGCCAGGTTAAACGTTCACGTTTTTAATTTGTATCTATCCGAACTGCAATAACTCTCAATTTAAGCATAAAACTGGTATCTATTAAACACTACAGTATTTTAGTGACAGGTCGAAATCATTAATATTAATTAATATTAAAAGGCTGCAAACCAAAATTTCAGCTATCTCTTTCGTTAGAGATAGATATCATATTTCGGTAAAAAAAATAAACTAAATTTTAGACCACGATATGTTATCACCGGGGTATAGAAGTGCATTCCTTAATATTACATAGAACAATTAACTAAAAATTCAATTGATAACAAGGAAGAGATCAAAGATAAACACGTATGGGTACGATAAAGGGTGCGTTAATAGTAATGCACTCAGCATTATAATATTTATTTCAAATACAATGAATGGAGTCGCTCCAGCTTGCACACTAGCGCAATGTAATTATAGTGAGCTGTCTAGTCATATCATGGTTACCGGCCAGTTGTCTTTTTCTTTTTGGACTTTATCTGCTGCAACAATCTTATTACACTACCCTGAAACTCTAGACAATCATCGTCATCAAGCAATGACAATGACGGCAGAAGGCTTTTAAAAAACAACATATATCTGTTAAGATCTTCATCGGACTTGTTACCGAAATTTGTTTGACAATCTATGAATGTCGCGATCTTTTCGTCACCGTTGCTCGTTGACCGATTCCTTGGGACATAATTAGCGAGCTCAAAATTAAATGGTTTTATATCTTTCTCGCTTTCATTATACGACTCATCTTCACTGTTTGGTTCTAAATCAAACCCGTTTTCTTCCACAGTTTCGTCGTCATCGCTGTAGAAATTTCTGTGACTACCCTGTGTGAAGTTGGTGACTTTTTTTAGGAACGACATCTGCTTATGGTGAATGTATAACCTGGTAGGTTTAGTGGAGGTGCGAGAGGGCTGGCCGTATTTTTTTAACGCTTTTGTCCAGGCATCCCGAATATATGTCCATTTCTTTACAACCTGCTTCTCTAAAACAAGAATAGTATTTTTGGTGTATAAGAAAACAAAAACTACAAAAATAAAAGTTCCATTAAGTGATGTAACAACTAGAGTATTAGTAACATAATTTTAATCGATATCTTAATGAAAGTTGATGGTGAGCACCCGAAGACTGCAAAACATTTTGATACCATTGGAAAAACTAGGAAAAATTAATTTTAAAAATTATTTATTTTAGTTTTCTAGTAATAAAGCCAGGATAAAATAAATCAATTTTTCGTTTTGAAGAAATCGCTTTTATTGTCTCTTATGCATATATAACATATAACATGCTCGACAATTTTTCTGATATCAGTTATTTTTAATTTCTTTTATACTATGTGCTTTTTAAAAAAATAAATAAGAACTAAGTTCAGATTTTCACGAAATTATATATTATGACATGACAATTGTTTCGACAACACCGTGTCTTTATCTTTATCTTTATCAACATTTGATAAAGACACGGTGTTGTCGAAACAATTGTCATGTCATAATATATAATTTCGTGAAAATCTGAACTTTTAGTTCTTATTTATTTTGATAAATGGATTTTCATCAAGTAAAAGCCATCTCAGTTCAATGTGCTTTTTAATTCACGATTAGCTTTATTGCATACGGATTGCAGCATAACAACTTGATATAACTGAGGGAAATAAACAAATTTCAAAACAATTTTTTAAACGGTCAAAAGTTGGAAAATGCTTATAAACATCTTCTGGACTCGACAAAATGCCGAAAGCTACATCCTAACCAAAGTATTCTGTGTTACTACTAAATAAAAAGAGGCGATTTTTAGTGAGGTTAGGTAAGCCAGCTGTTTAGTTGTTTGTATCTTTATATTTTATTTTTCGATTGTTAACACAAGAAATGGGGCAAAATCAGACAAAATATCGGAAAGCAAAGAAATCATTACTATGATATTTTAAAATTTAACTTTTAATTTTTATTATTATTTATAGGTGTGCTACGTTTTCGTTTTTTTGTCGTTCTTATATTAGACATAATACATATTGCACTCAACCGAAAATAATTGTGCCTCCGTTTTATCCATTACTTGTGGATTTCTGCCGTTTGTCAGATATAACTTTTTTTAGTCACATTAACTAACTGAAATACGTTGTTAGGTAAAATCGTCAGAAATCGCCTTAGGTATATAAAACCTGTGTTTAGAATGTGTACACTATGTGATAAATTGTCAAACCTAATTGACGAAATTTGATGTTTCATTCTTGATGATAACCTGAAAATTTCCGAGATCTTTCGAAAAGTGCTTATTTTTATTTCATCTCTTAGTGAAACTAGCGATAGTGTCGAATCGCAAAAACTTACCACAGTTTTGACGTTCTACATGAGACATTTCGTCGAAATCATCAAAGAGTTGGGTGCAGATATCTCGCCATGCCGCCAATTTCGCATTTTTACTTCTGTATACGTTCAAAGTCTTATCCCATACGGCTGGATGGGTTTCTACTAAACTTATAAGCTGTTCGGTTTTAATGTGCATCGCCGTTATAATTATTCGTAGACAAAACGAAACCGTTTCGGGACACGTTAAATCTATCGAATCGTGCGAGGAAGATCAGCTGCCACGCGTCACTGTCAAGCGATTCGATTTTCCACAACGGGACGCAACGTTCGCACGACGCTAAAATCGACCGACAAATCCCGTACGGTGGAATTTCCGAATGATATCGTTCGCCACTGGGACACGGACACCCAAGTAAATTTCGGTGCCGAAGCTTTGAACATGCGCAAAACAACTGACTCGGATCTACCGGCATTTAACATTAATCCTTTTTGCCTTGGTATATATTTTTTGGGAATTTTAAGACATTTTGGGTTTGCGTTTTATTTCATTTTATGCGATTTAAAATCAAGAAAAAGAAGGGTAATGAGCAACTCTTTTATTTATTTCACAGAATTTCGTAAATCAACTCGGGATACCGACTTTTTTTACGGAGCTCCGTAAAATAACTCGAATTTTGACTGTTTTTGACGTATTCCTTAAATCGACTCGAAATTTCGACTTATTTTACAAAATTTGGTAAAGCAATTAAGATTTATGACGGATTTGACGTATATCCTACGTAGTTCATTTCCAAGTTGTGACTGTGCGAATATCGGTGTTTGAATTTAATTTCCAGTGAGGTAAACACCCGTCGAGTAGATCGCCGGAGATGCAACACAATTGATAAGTCCTATCTCACACATCTCGGAATAAAAGCGGAATTTTCGAGCGCAACTAACCCATATAGATAGCCAGCGGAATAGATCCAACCTGCGTTTTTGTCAATTTCTCTTCTCCCGACGAAACAAATGGCAGCGTATTACTTTACAGATAAAGAATACAAGTTTTAAAGCAAACATATCTCTTTTCTTTCTTCTTCAAGTGACCATTCGTTCCCAAAAATGATTATTATGGTGGCTACAACGAACGGCTGCTCTGAATAATTCAGTGGTTGTTTTGGGAATCCAACTTCTTAAGTTCTTCAACTGTGATATCTTACGACTCCTGGGTCATAAATTTTCTCCTGGAGCATATCTTTCAGGCGTTTATCATTTTTATTTTTATCTTATCATATTTCTATTTTCTGTCATTCTCAATGACTCGACTTCGTATAAGAGTGTCGGGAGTACGTAACATAGACTTTGATGTTCTAGTCCAAATTGTGACTTTTAAACAGTGTTGGCATTTTGATAAAGTTTAAAGTTCTTTTTTTTCAGCATTTATTCCCTTGACATTGGATCCATTATCGTTTCTTCCGGCGGATGTATTGTTTACTTAATATCGGGAAGTTGGTTTTATTTATGTTCATTTTTAGATCGTACTGTTCACTGGCATCGTAAACGTAAAACGTCAACATATAGAAAATATTTCTGTTCTTGGTCCAAGCTTCCCAATGTTCTTCTTCCATCAATTCACCATTTTTCTACGAGCACTTTTTTTCCTACTTTATATTCGTCCACACTCCATTCCATTAATCAACGGGACACATATAAAGTTAATAAAACAATATAGCGCTCGAACCTTCAAAGACCCTTCCGCCAGCGTCGTGTGTGTGGTGGAAACTAGGAAGCGAGTTTTTTTCCGTCGGCAGGCCGATTTCGCCCTACACTAGGACTGAGTCTTAATTGCGACCCATCCGCGTTGTACATTTTTTTCGATTATTGTTTTGATACAAGAAACAAACTGCTTTTAGAACTATTCCGACAATTACTACTTGTTTTATAGAATTATATGAAATAATCCAGAATTTTACGAATTTTAAAATATGTCGGATTATAAAGAAAAATTCATTTTACGCTACTTTACCGGGGTTTGGGAGCGATCGGATGTTTTCAGTAGATTTGGGGTATTTCGAGGTTTGCTTGACGGTCACGTCATTCGTCCATGATTTTTTTTTGCCTACTTCAAATCGGCCAAACGATTTTAAGTTACAGACCAATAAGCTTGTTGTTTACATTTTCAAAAGTAGTCGAAACAATTTTCAGTATCTCAGCAGCTCAGCAACTTTTTAATTTTTTACTTCATCTTAGATTTTGTAAATAAAAAAAAACGTTTTTCTACTCCCGTCTGTAAAATTCCTAATTACACACCGATCTAGCGTGCGGGAAGCGTCACTTTACAGATTCGTTTCCCGCGACTCCGAGCCACTTTGTTATAGGGAACAATTTTATGGTATTTTTTAGAATAAGAGGAATTTCAGTTTAAGATGCACATGTTTTTTGTCAATCCTATTCAAAAGTCAAAGTTTTAGGGGATGGTTCAAGTGGCTTTTGAAGTAGGTATTGAGTTAAACAGATGTGTTTTTCTTTTTACTTTTTAGAAAACTGAATTTTAGGACTTTAATATCGTTAAAGATTTGCTCATCGAAAGCCAATTTTTTCCGACGTGTTCTTTTTTACGAATTCGAGGCTTTGCTTGTAGAATTTATAACTTATCACTAATTATCTATATGTGTTATTCTACATACTTTTTTTCGTTACTTGTTTTTTTACTAATTTGGTGAGTTTACTGAATTAAAGGGTTGTGTGTAAAAATACTGCCTTTTATTTCAACGAATCGACGTGTTGCTGAAAGGGGTAGTTTTGGTGATGCGACACACTTCGGACATTTCTGGGATTTTACCGCACGGGTTTGGGAGCAATCGGACGTTTTCGGAGGTATTTCCCATGCCTTGAATTTTGACGTTTTTCAATTCTGACGGTCATATCAGTGAATTTATTGGTGTTGTTTTGCGAAAATGTACCCAAAAACTAACGGTCGTAGAAAAAGTATAGTATGCAACACGTTCGGTTCGGTTAAGTCACTCGTTTATTAAACGCTCCGCTCGTGTCAAATAACCTCCTGATTCAAATGCCGTTTACCGTACATGTTGCATAATATACTATTATTTAACAGAAAAACATGAAACATATTACCTTAGAATGGATAATGGACTATTTTGCTTTGGTTTCGATCAGGTTCGATGCCTTGAACAGGTAAGCAAGTGGATTATTACTTTACCATCGAAACTCGGACAAAATAACTCCCACAGAGTCATCATGACTATCAACCTAATCAATTATTAATGGAAGTTTCCATGGAATAAAGCTATATAGAAATATAAGCAATTTCTTCGTACAATGTTGCTCCGTTAAATCACATATATCAACAAATTACACCGTTCAACATAAACGCCATAGAAACTGACTATTAAAGGGTAGTTGAATTTACTTTATAATAATTCGTAAACCTATGGGTAGGTAGACTTTGAGGCTCTATGCTCTCAAAAGTCATTACTTCGAAGCGCTTCAAATTCCATAAGAAAACTCAAGAGGATCTTGTATGGTAACCTGGTAAATTATTTAATAAATTACAATTCTGCGATAATAATTCAGTACTGAAATGGTTTAGCGAAGTGAAGGAAAGTTCATTTTTTACAGTCCTTGGACATTTCGGCTGCATTTTGATAAAATTATTATGGAGGCTAACCGAATGCAGAGAAATGTTCTCTGCTGTCTGGAATCTTTATTGTCTGCGAGATGAAATAATCAAATCAAAAATGAGTTTGGCCGAGGTGAGGACTGTCACGTAGGTGGTTTATTGCTTTCTTAATAATATTAAACCTAAAATAAATCTGCAATGAAGTGTTGCCAAACAGTAAAACTAAATATAGTAGTCTCTTATGCAATAAGTGTGGTAAACGGCATTTGACTCACGAGTTTATTTGACACGAGCGGAGCGTAGTGGAGCGTAGCGGACCGTTAGCTTTTGGGTACATTTTCGCAAAACACGAATACATTCACTGACATGACCGTCAGAATTGACAAACGTCAAAATTCAAGGCGTGGGAAATATCTCCGAAAACATCCGATTGCTCCCAAACCCGTGCGGTAATATTCCGGAAATGTCCGATGTCGCCCGGATTCGTAGGACACGAAACTGACATGGTTAAGTGAGGCTTCCCGCCCGCTAGATCGGCATTTTACAGACGGGAGCAGAAAAAATATAACACATGGTCTAATCGCAAGCTTTAATTGTCAGCGTTCTCCCATAATATTAAAGGAAGGTACGCTAACATAACCAAAAGGCTCTTTAGGATTAAGTTTATTCCTTAATAGATTTAGGGAAGCTCATTTAAGTTTGTTCGATTTGAATTTTTATAACCGAATTTTTACTCCATTTTCATTACATACTTTATATGAAGTACATTTTTCACAATGTCTCTTAGCTCTGTCGAATCGCCTGTTTCTTTTATTGCTGTCAGTTATTTGGTCGCACTATAAAATAAAAAAAATAAAAAAATAAAAAATATTTTTTCTATTTTTTATTAGAAAATAATGTTTTCGTTTGACGAGTTAATAATGTGTTTAGATTCAAACCTGAGCATTTTATATTCCGATTATACCAATGCTTTTTACGAGTATAGAGCAAACCTACTTTTTTTTAAATGACATTTGTTTAAGTTAATGATTTTGAGTCAAAACCTTCAATTTTCATTTTCAATTTCTCACAGATTTATTCGTTTTCGTTTTAATAATAGATAGATAGATAGATATTTATTTCGCTTTTCGATACTATTGGGTTGTTCGGAAAGTCATTCCGTTTTTTTTTGGGGAACATGAAAGACAGTTTTCGTATAATGAATAAATATTTTATTAAATTATATATTGGCCATTCTGGTCCATTTGAGGTAAAGGTTTTGCCATCCAAAAAATTTTGCAGGGACCGGAACAAATAGTAGTCGGAAGGCGCCAGATCTGGAGAATATGGTGGATGTTGCAGTACGTCCCATTCAAGCTGTAAAAGTTTTTGGCGAGTGACCAAACTTGTGTGAGGTCTCGCATTATCCTGGTGGAACACTACACCCTTCCTGTTGATTAATTCGAGCCTCGTCTCTTTAAGTGAATCATTCAATTTGTCCAGTTGATGACAATAGACTTCTGAATTAATCGTTGTATTGTCCGGCAAAAGCTCAAAAAAAACGATTCCTTTGACATCCCACCAAACGGAGAGCATCACCTTTTTTTGGTGAATGTTGGCTTTTGACACGCTTTGAGCCGGTTCATCTTTTCTGCTCCATGACCTCTTGCGTTTAACATTGTTGTATACAACCCATTTTTCGTCCCAGTAATAATCCGCTTCAAAAATGGATCATTTTCTTGACGTTTGAGGAGCGAATCACACACGTCAACGCGACGACACAAATTTCGCTCCGTAAGGACATGGGGCACCCACACATCGAGCTTCGAGGTTAAGCCCATGCCTTTCAAATGGCCATAAACAGTCGAATTCGACAAATTTAATCTCTCACCGATCTCTCGTGTGGTTATTCGCCGATTTGCATCAACTAATGCCTTTATCGCATCTTTGTCAGCTTCGACCGGCCTTCCAGACCGTGGTGCATCTTCGACATCAAAATTGCCGGATCGAAATTTTGCAAACCAGTTCTGGCACTGGCGTACTGTTAACAGGCGTTCTCCATACACATCCGTCAATTTTTTTCTCGCTTGGACAGCATTTTTACCTTTTCTGAAGTAAAAAAGTAAAATATGACGAAAATGCTGCTTATTGCTCTCCATATTTAAAAGGGCACCAACCAAAAACTACTGCGTAGAATTAATAGAACTTTTTCACACACAAGCCTTGCAATATCAGCTCTCAAGACATATAATGGTTATGCGGCTTAAGTGTGAAGTTGGTTTCGAAAAAACGTAATTAAGAAGACCCGGTATGCACCAGTGGCTAGACCCCAATAGATTATACCGTAACCTATCACTGATTGGAACAGCCCATAGTACACCAGCTTTAAAACGTCAATGGATACCGTATCTCAAATATTTTGGAATAAGTATGAGCAGGAGCTTAATTTGTAATTCCATGTAAGTTTGTTGTCAATGTACAGACCGAGAAACTTAGTAGCCTCCACGTTTTCTATAGAACGTCCCTCCAATTGGAGAAGAATACTGGAATCAACGCGAGTATTTTTTGTGACTATTTCCATAGCTATTGACTTAGATTTATTTAATTGTAGTCCGTTATCGCGACACCATTCATTCACCCTCGTGACCCTTGGTTCTGCGGCCCCTTTTAAATTTGCTGTGTTTTTATCTGTAACTAAAATGCTTGTGTCATCTGCATACTGTACAAATAATGCATCTATATTATCCTGAGGAAGATTGTTCATAAAACAATTAAAGAGAAGCGGTGATAGGGGTACCTCTGCCTACATATTGAGTGCTAGATTTTGAACCGCCGATCACAACCTGCTGTACTCTCTCGGAGAGGTAAGATGTGACCCATGAGTTTGCTGGACCTCTAATGCCCATATTTTCCAGTTTCTTTAAGAGCAGACTGTGATCGACAGTGTCGAAAGCGCGGCTCAAATCAAAAAATAAGTCTAATGTGACTGTTTTGTTATTAAGGGCTATTGTGGATATGCTCCAGAGCACAGTCCAGAGCTGTAGTTGTGGCGCGGTTGGCTCTAAATCCGTTCTGAGCATCAGAAATCAAAGAGTATTTCTCAAGGAACCTCTGTAGTCTATCATTATAACAGGACTCAAAAATTTTTGCCACTTGAAATTGAAGAGCTACCGGGCGGTAGTTCTCTATGTTCAACATTCAAGTTCTCGGAATAAAGAAGTTGAAAATGGTTGAAAAAAACACATTCTTTTTTATTTCTTCCTGGAGATAAAATAAAAATTTTATTATATATACATAAAAAATAGACTACCAATTATGAAACTGGTTGTAATTCCAATTTTTTTTAAGACAATAAATTCCATAAAAGCTTAAGTATAATTGTATGTATAATAATATACGAATAAGTAATAATAATATCGTATGGCATTCTATATTAACTGTATTTTGGTTGTTATGCGTTATTTCCTGTCGAATTATCGTTCTGGCACTCTGTAACATTTTTGTCGTCCTCGTACTGTTCTATCGCTTGCCTTTCCAATTCTTGAAATATTTCGTTGGACGTAGCGTATTGCTCCAAAGCCTGGAGTTCGAGTTCTTCCGTCCGGGTTACCGTGAGTGCTACACGCGGATATGAATCTTCGAAAATATCGTTTAACGTTCCTATCACTAGACTATCGGTCTCGTTGTTTGTTGCGTCATCTTGTTTGGCTAGCAAAGGAGCGTCTCGAATAGTGTCCGTATTCTGTGCAAACCGTTTAATCTGGTATTTAGGCCGCGCAGTTCTTTGAAGCGTCGGAGTTCCGTGAACTACGACAAAATTGGCATTTGGAATGATCAACTGGGGTGCGGTCACTCGAATCGATGGCTGAGTCAAATCCGGCCGTGTTCTTGTACTTTTCGCGAAAGCGTAGCTCTGATTTTTTAACGACCAATTCGACTTGGTAAAATTGGGAAAGAAATGGTTTGAACCGGGACGTAACTGTTCATGGTGTGTGGAAAAATTTGAATGCCGACAGGCTAAATTATTGTAAGGGATCATTTTAAAATCTGTCTGGTTACTGCAGCTTGTGTTCTTCGTGAGATCGCATTTGGATATAATAGAGTTTTGCTTTTGATACTTATTGGTAGTATTTCCGCTTTGCAGAATTGCCGAATATAGTTTTTTGTTACCAACCGTCTCTGCTTCTAAACCTGGCACGTTGACTTTAGCAATCTGTTGTTGCAGTGTTCGGGAGACGGTCTGTAAATTAAAGCGGAGGCATGTTGTTAGCAAGAGACATGAGAACTAACGTTCCGCCCTACGGAGGCGATCAAAGAGAGTAGCGTGACACGTGCCATGCTAGCAACGAGAGTAGGATACGCGCGATGTAAGTAGAGAACTACATCGTGAGCGATATGTCAGAGAGCGTTGTTCTAAGTCGTACTATCTATTTTTCTGAAAATATTCAGCTTACGCAAAAAAAGAAGAAGACCGGCGAATAAGATACGTTACAAAAGGGCACAAAATGGGTGAGTTTCATCATTGATATGACGCCTTAAGGAGTCCAGCAAATAATTTAATTTTCTTTGGATGGACGAGGATAATCTCTGTTACATTAGCCAAATTTTCATCGTACTTATTAAATATTCTAGAAGTTTTCGGACACATCGAACAAAATGCATGTGCGGTAGCTACCCACAAACGAAAGGCTACTGATCGCGAGATCAAAATAAAATATTTTAATTTGCATTGTCGGATTCGTTTCAGTGTCAATCTCGCTAACCAGTTTGAAGTTAGAAGGCAACTGATTCAAATTCAGTGGCTTTCGTTTCCAGAGAAAAAGTTCGATTGCAGCCTCGTACGTGAAACTAAAAAGTATTCAATATTTTTTTGCTACTTTAATCAAAATTTATATGGCCACAAAGGTTAGTTTTGGTTTCCAGTAAAAATATTCTTTTGCACTCCCACACAGGAGTTGCAATAGGGTGAAACTAAAAAGTAATAAATATTTTTTTCCTAATTTAATCGAAATTTACAAACTTTCATTCTTAGTTGTTTCCAGGAAAAATATTCTCTTACCTCCCGTACGGCAGTTGCTATAGGATGAAACTAAAAAGTAATAAATATTTTTTTTCTACTTTAATCGAAATTTACACACTTTCATTTATTTATGCAAATGTGTTACCATAGGTTAGTTTTTGTTTCCAGGAAAAATATTCTCTTGCCTCCCGTACGGGAGTTGCAATGGGGTGAAACTAAAAAGTAATAAATATTTTTTTTCTACTTTAATCGAAATTTACACACTTTCATTTCTTTATGAAAATGTGTTTGCCAAAGGTTAGTTTTTGTTTCCAGGAAGAATATTCTCTTGCCTCCCGTACGGCAGCTGCTATAGGGTGAAACTAAAAAGTAATAAATGTTGAATCGTATGTAATCTTTACTTGTTCTTTTTACTTAATCTAAGGTTGTGTCGATTACATATAGAAAATATAGTCTGTGCTGAGCCCAGAGTGACGCTGGAGACTGTGTTTAAAGTTATCGCGAATTTCATTTTACGGTATTGAAATTTTGGAACTCAAAAAAAGGATGGCTTCCGAAGGACAGCAACATGGCGATGACTACAGTCGCGCGAATATTCGGAAGTTAGCAAGTAGCGATCAGTGGAAAACTTGGAAGTGGCAAATAGAATTATGCTTAAACGAACAATGTCTTAGTACTATCGTCAGTGGATTACGAACGTGCCCTGCAGGTCCTGAAATTAATTCTGAACCCTCTGAAGAATACAAGCGTTGGCAACATGATAACGCGCGCGCAGCTCGCATTATTGGCACTTCACTTGAAGAAGATGCTGCCATGCACGTCCGAAAGAAAACTAATGCTAAGGAAATTTGGGACACGTTAGTATCAGTATATGAGCAATCCTCAATGCGGAGGTTATACACACTCTGCGATACTTTCTTTGAAATCAAGAAAGATGACGCAACCTCAGTTAGGAAGCACACGTCGCAATTATCAAATGTGTTTGAAGACATACTTGACGAGTTGCAGAAAAAGGATTCATTCCCTATTCCCTTGTCGCTACTCCACCATCATATCTTCAAAACTCTAAGTCCCGAATATAGTATTAGCAAACAACAAAACCGTTAGGTTATGTCAATTTTAAAGAAATGTGTAATAAAATCGGCGTTCAAATGTGAATAATATGTAAAACACTAATTTAAAATGTTGTAAAAGTAAAGCTTAAGGGGTGGTGTTGAAGCGTATGTAACCTTTACTTGTTCTTTGGTTTACTTAATCTAAGGTTATGTCGATTACATAAAGAAAATATAGTCTGTGCTGAACCCTTCTGCCTCTTTTATTTGCAATCCCGTTAAGTCATTTAACTACACCATTCACCACAACAATAAATATAATTTTTCTGCTTTAATAGAAGTTTATACATTTTTATTTCTTTATGAAAATGTGTTGCCAAAAGTTAATTTTTGTTTCCAGGAAAAATATTCTCTTGCCTCCCGTACGGGAGTTGCAATAGGGTGAAACTAAAGAGTCGTACAAATTGTGTTCTACTTTAATCGAAATTGACACACTTTCATTTCTCGATGAAACTCTGTCCACAAAGATTAGCTTTCGTTTCGTTCCGTACGGGAGTGCAGGAAAATATTTTATATATATTTTTATATAGCGACTCCCGTACGGGAGTGCAGGAGATTGTTTTTACTGGAAAGGAAAGTTAACCCTTGTAGCCACATTTTTATCAAGAAATGAAAATGTATAAATTTCGACTAAAGTAGAAAAAAATATTTAAAATTTTTTAGTTTTTTCTGGAAATGATAGCGAAACGTCTATTTATTTTGAATTAGTTGCTTCCTAAACTGGTTTAGAACTCTTCGCTACCACTGGTTGTTCGGCTCTTTCTGTAATTTTTGCTGCCAACTTTTGTTGCTAACTTCACACTGGTATCGCGCGACGTCGCTCGAGGCGCCAACGCAGGACGGCTTCATAGAAATACATGTCGGCGCCCTTAGCTTTAAGTGGCGATACTCTCTCATATTTCGTTTTGGGTGTTATGGAATGTTTATTTTTGACTCGCATTATTTATCGGTCTAGCCTAAACAGTTATAATTCCCTCACATTGGTGTTTTTTCAAAGTGAACGGAATGCTACCCGGCGAACATAGTCAGGCTTTATAGAAGCATTGGTTAGGCCGGATTTTGAATAACTCCTATATTTTATTTTTCGCTTTCCTAATCAATTAAGTAATAAGATCATTGATTTGTTTTAAGCACCGTGTTGTGCATTATTTTAATATGTCCGACAAGTCTAACCCTATGTCGCCTCGCTCGTCGATCTCTGATGTACATTAAAGGCCCCGGTTCTCATATACGCTTCACCTTGCTTCACTACATTTCACTTGGCTATTTAGTATAGTTCACTTTACGATATACCGTTTTTACGACATAATCCGGTATTTAACTTTAGTAAATTTTTATGAAGGTCTAACCGCAATAGATAAATAGACGGATCTGTGTAGAGTTTCATCACTGAGATTCTTCGTTTATTATTAGTCCATGCGGCGACAAATCCATCCTTACTTTAAAATGTTTATTATAAATATAAATGAAGGAGTAAATTTAGCTATAAAAATATGCTAGAATATGTATTAAAAAAATTTATTCTACATTAAAATAATCATTATCGTTGCTGGACTCGTCCCCCACATTAATAATTAATTCTGGGACTTCTGTGCAGTGCAGTGATATGGTGGAAGACGGACAACTTTGAAACCCTGCTCGATGGCCAAGTTGTCCACATTATACTTCTCATTAAACGTTCCCGTTTTAATAACTTCGAATAACTGCTTCTTTGTGTAGGAATTTCCAAAATAGCACAGTAAAGTAAAAAATTTTAAATGACTTCTTTATTCGATAATGAATTCGGTATTTTTTCCGCTTGTGCAGAATGGTAGCTCGCGTTGTCCAGCACAACAACACTGTTTGGTAGAATAATGGGAAACAATTTTTTAGAAAACCATTTTTCAAAGATGTCTGAGGTATAAAAAATTAAATCTGATCAAATAAAATTCCAGATCCTTTACTTTCTTAAGCTTAGTCAGGATACCATCCATACTGTAAAGTTTTTGTGCGGTGGTAAGAAACCACATTACATTTTCTAATGTTAAGATTGAATTTATTTTTAGTACACCACTGACGGACAATATTGATGTTAGCCTGGAGAGTCATACGGTTTTGATGTAGTAATATAGTTTTAGGTCATCTACATAGGCAAGCTTGTCGCAGATGATATGAGGTCATCTATGAATATATTGAACAGAACTGGTCTGATGCACAGCAGAATTTGGAATAAAAGCCCTCAATCTCAACGAACTCAAGTTGCATCAAATAGAACCTCAACACTCACATCGGAGAAACAACATTTTTGAAACGCTTTTTTAATCAGTAAGTGATAATCTATCTGTAGGAGTCAGTGTACCCTGCGTTCAATTTATCTTGTTAACATTTTAATTGGTTGTAACTGTTTTGCTTCTGGAGATATCAAGGTAAACAAAAAAACAAAATGTTGACTTAGTAGCCAAGTTTTTTTTTGCAAGTAATGTATTATAAAAAACACTATCAATCTTCTGATATATAAGCCTTAATCATATATATATATATATATATATATATATATATATATATATATATATATATATATATATATATATATATATATATATATATATATTCTCACGTATTGATTCACGGATGGAAAAATGTGATGACACTATATTCCGGGATATCATCCGTTCGCTCGTTGAACTCCGACTGGAATCCTGCATCCGACTGGAATCCTGCAAATCTTGCATCCGACTGGAATCCTGCAGACGTTTCGCCAAAATCTCACTTGGCATCTTCAATGCTCGCGCTCCGAAAACACTTCGAGTGTTCGAAGTGAAATGAAATTGAATGAAGTGATTGAAAATTGATAGTGGTTTGTTTTATACGTCAGTTGGAAAAAACTTGGCTGCTAACCCTACTTTTTTTTGTCTATCTCTAAAAACAAAAAAGTTATTGGCAATTAAAATGTTATCAAGATAAATTGATCGCACGGTACTCGACTTGTAAGTTGTAAAGTCAACTTGACCTTGTTTGTCCCGCACGCTACTCTATTTTGTGGTATTGGAATTCACATTTGCACGTAACATGTGTTACGTAACAAAACACAAGAGACTTTTTAACGCTTCTTGTTGGCGCTCCATGTAGTCAAGCGGATCAAAGCAGGGCGAAGCGTATTTTATTTGAAACATCCGCTGAAGCAGCGCTGCGTTTTGACGGTTTTCAACATAATACGTCGTCGCGTCATGCATTCCGCTAAAATATGACAGTAGCGCCGCGAGAACCGATAGAAACGTATTTCTGCGTCAACCGCTTCAAATTGCTCACGTAGGACAGTGCGTAAAAGTTCAAGTAAGACGTTTTCTAAAAAAGGTTGGTATTGGTTGGTGGGTCTAGGCGGAAGAAAATTAAGGCTAATAATTCCAACCCAAATATTGACGGACAACTTTTCGTCTAACAGAGCGTGTGCATTAACGTCACGTGATTATTATTAAAATTACTTTACTGAATTTCGAGAGAAACAAACTTTATCCCTAAATAACAACAAAGATAAAAATGTCAGTTTGCTACTATTTTAGTTAGTTACCAGTAGCACAATGCTGTTCTTAGAGTAAAATTTCTATGCAAAGGAGTTTAATATTTAATGTCTATGCAATTTCCTGGAGCTTGTTGAAGAGTTTATGTCAATTGTATTCGGACTGCTCCCTCGATCTAAACTGTTCTGACCTTTACTTGCTATTACGGTTATAAACCTCTTAAAATAACCTGTTTCACAAAGTCGTGCGTGGAGCTTAGTAAAAGTTAATAATTTTTACAAAACTTCTGGATTCCCCTCCTGCGTCGGTTTTTGCTGCGAAACCGGACATTCAATTTTTCTACCAACGAAAAATCCTAGAGTCTGTATATTGTCATTTCATTATTAGTAAATCGAACTTTTTTAAAGGATGAAATGAAAAATGTTTTCTACACGCGCACACTGTTGTCATGTACTTGTACTATTTATTCTTGTGTAAAAATTTTGTGTGACTTAAATAATCTACCAGAAGTTCACTACTAGCAGAGAATATTTTACTGCCTTCAATTGAAATAAAAACCGTACAAAATTTCAGAGTCACCCTGTACAGCAGAACCGAATTGAAAATTTTATTAGTGGCATCGTTCGTTTGATGAAAATATATATAAAAATATTGCGAAAACACATTCTAATTCCAACGATAACGCTTTAGATGATAAATCTGCTCGTAAATAATTAAAGGCATATCATCAAAACGATTTAAGGACGATTTTTTAAAATCCCTGCACTTTTTAGATTTTTGTGAAGCCTTTTGGAAAGGACATTGTTTAAGACACACCTATGAGGAAAAATAATTGATTGATTTCAACCAAGTCATTCTGTTAGGAGGGAAATTAGGTAAGTAAAGTTTGGATTTCAAATTTATTTTGAAAAATATGTTATTGACAACGTCGCAATGTCTAAAATTTAGATGTATGTACGACCATAAAAGAGACGAAGTTAAGGGTTTCATAAAGAAACTGCTGTTGATAGATACAGGTATTCCCGTCGCCGACGACGAAGGAACAACGACTGTACGGTATTCTTTCGGGCATATTGTTATATTCAATATATACGCATTAGTGAAAGCTTTTCATGTTTTATTTTATTATTTTACATACTTTTCGTGATATAACTATTTTATTAACACAATTATATCTGGTGTTAAGTTTTAAGTCAAAATAAACAACCATATAGAACAAATCTGAAATTATCACTGTGGTGGTGATCCACTCCATGCCCCAAACTCAGCATTGCAGAGATCCTAAGCCCGACAAGTATAACACCTCTGTCAGGGCACTCAAAATTTGTTTCAGGCCACCCATGTGGTAACCAATAGACTTTACTAGGTCAATTTACGCTCCAGAGTCAGAATTGTTGCAGATAATCCGCGTGAGCAGAGAAGAGTGCCATTACATATTGTCAGAAATATAGATTAGGGCATGACTCAAGATATCGATTTAGCTCAAAATATATCGTCTTGATTTTTGACGGCAATTGTCGAAATAATCTGCCGATGACAACACCCGTCGGTATTGTAGGACAGAATATCAGCGACGGACTTTTAAAGATTAAATATTATGTTTTTAGGTATTATAAAATCACATTAGTACACGATGACATTAATTAAATTCAGTACATTATAGGAGTAACATTTTCTGCTCTCACATTTGATTTTACTTGGTGCCACAAAAGTTCTGTGGAGTTGAATATATTGAATATTGTTCGTTAATAGCATATGAAGTTAATAATTCGAAAATACAATAAATGTCATTATGTTTTAATATTCTTGATTTTTTAAGTTTTTATACTTGATGGATTTGTTGCTTTTTGTAGCAGACAGCTCTGATAGCTTGCATTATCTATTACAATGACACTTGTATCCGGACTATCCTTTAAAAGATAATTTTGAACCCAGTTTTAAAAAAGTTCTGCACTTGTATGTTCGTAATAGTCCACGCTAGAGTCTTTAATATTCTCTGCATCTGATCCACTGTGAATTATGCTCACGCGTTTTCCTTTAATGGAAGGTACTTTTGTCTAACAGTTTTTTCTAGAACCAACCTATCCTTCGAGTACTGTATCGCATGTATTGAACCAAGTTTCATTATACATCGGTTTTGGGATCTACACTCTTTCATTTCCTAACGATAATTAAATCTACGGGCGATATCTGTGCGCTTGTTTGAAATTCGATTTTACAAATAACTCTATGGAGGTTGACACAGCTAATAATTATATTGGTTTCTAGCTTCCTTTTCAGTTTATTCAAAGTAGGAACGGTCTGGGCAAACTATTTTATCCAGAATATTCATTTTAAAACTTCTTGGTTAATGAATACCTCTTATTATTCATACACATTTGTCATAATTTGTTCTGCATCTGTATCTACGCGAGATACGGGAAAAATCCTTAATATATTCGTGAGAAGCTTTTTCGAAACGTATCATAAAAAAGGTTTTCCAACATTGCCACTGATATCAGCTGACGCGTGATCGACTTCTACGCAACTCACCTCTGTCCCCTTGTCTATGCGCAAATTATTGGTTGTTACTCAATAACAAAAGGTATAAAGGTCACTTTTTGGGGGAGGGTCTGTCAAATTTGGTGCCAGCATTTTAAGGCCTAGTGTGATTTTGTGATATTTTATAATAAGTTTTGAATATATTTGAATTATTTAAGATTATCTGGCCAAGTTTAGATAAATTACATTGATAGTTACCGTTAAAATCCCTATTTCAGTTTTTAAGGCGTAAACACCTCGAATCATTCCAAAATTAAGGTCACAGTAATATGCATACAATAGAAATAGATGAGTTTGAGGAATGAGACTAATGTGACAGCGGCGTTACTACAGGTAGTTTATTAGAATAATAAACATATTAATAACGTCGGTTATTTTAAAAGTGGTGTTATGCCTGGTTATAAACTTTGCTCATATCAATTTTATGGGGTGTAATTCACGGTAATATGGCGGAAACGTATAACTACTAGAGATATAGAGGGCCCTGTCTATGCCGATAATACGAACCAACTATGAAAAAAATGTTGAGAAGGTCCATTCAGCATGCGCGAGATTTAAAATCTTGTTTTTAACCAATGACCTTGCGGCATTCAACAACCAACATGGCCAATGACAGGTTATCAATAAGTTTGGATGCAGCATTTTTTCGACAGCAAAAAAGAGTGGATATCGCCGTTAATTGGGTGTCGACGCATGCGCGGAAAACTATTCTCACTCTACGAAAATATGAATAAATATTTCCTCTAGTAGCTATATGTGCCAATTTCGCCGACAACAAATTTCATACAAAGGGGTTTATTCAAATGTTATAATCTACAGTAGCTCTTTTTTCAGCATATCTTTCTTAAATTGCCTCTTATTTAAAGGAAGCCAACGAATGATGCCATTGTTATTCCAAAAAACGGATTTTCTTGACTCCGGAGGAATAAGAAGAAGAATAAGTCTTGAAAACCATATGGTTTTGAAGAAATGAATGCTTAGATATTAAGCATTCATTTCTTCGTCATAGTATCCAGACCGTTTTGATTGAAATGCCAGTAACCCAACACCGACAAATCTGTTTTTCCTACCAATGTGAGTAATTGCACAGGTCTACAACGATTTTGATGTTTGAAAGCTGTTTGCTTATTTGCATATTTTTGGGGCCTCTTTTCCCACGTCATTTTTTTATAGCGCTCTAAATCTTAAAAATGTTTGTTTCATATTAGGAACGATTTTTGACTGAATTGATTTTTATGAAATTAAATGTGATTTGGCAACACTGATAATATTAGATTTCACTACAATGTAAAAGATGGCGCAAAAGCGTTGTAACCTGTTTATGCGCAGATTGGTTGTATCAACGCGGCTGTTGTCTTTGTTGTGTATTTCTAGTGTTCTAGAATGTATAAATATGAAAAGAAGACATTGCGTGAACAATCCAAATAACTGTTATACCTATGGAAGTTATGTTTGTAGTAAATCAAAATCAAACTATTACTTTTTTTGTGAAAAATGCATCCCGCGCTTACTTTGGTATAAAAATTGGCGACTAAGAGAAGTCCTCATACTGTTTGTTCCGTTTGCGTTGAAGCATTAAGAAACTGGCAAAAAGGTAGGAAGATATGTCTAAGCTTTGGTGTTCCTATGATATGGTGAGAGCCCAGGAATCACAGTAATGATCGTTATTTTTGTTCGTGTAATGTTCAAACATTCAACAAAAAAATAAGAAACAAATTGTGTATCCCAATCTTAGTCTGCTATTCGATCAGTTTCTTATGGACCAGAATTAGAAAACGTCATACCGTCAGAATCAGAAGGATTTCGACCCATATTACTCAGATTTCACACCAGATTTCAGAAAGTCCAAAATGTTTAAGCAGTGTGAAAATGCTCATGATTTCAAATATTTATGCGAGATATTTCCAGGCCAATCTGATGCCAAGATAAAAGAGGGTATTTTTGTTGGGCCACAGATAAGAACATTATACAAAACACAATGATCAATGTCGAAAAAAACGCCTGGATTTTATTTAAAGTAATTGATAAGTTTCTTGGGAACTCTAAGGACGAAAACTACGAAAGTATTCTTCAAAATATGTTACAACCCTTTCATCGTCTAGGTTGTAATGTGAGTTTGAAAGTGCATTTTCTGTTTTCACACTTGAACTATTTTCCTGAAAATCTTGGAGTAGTTAGTAAAGAACAGGGAGATAAGACATTAAGGCTGTGCCCTCTCCGTGGTAATAATCGAAATCAAAATAATGCGGATTGAAATAATGAATTTATTTTAATTTCGGTAAGAGAGAAATGTTTTCCGTTGCGTAGCTAAGGCTAAAAACTGCCGAATCCGGCTCGAAGGACCAAATAATTTCTTTTCGCGGAGTAAAACTAGAGGTTGCTTACCACCGATATGAAAAGAAAATGGGCGGCGAGCTCGGAAGAGCTTTAAAGTGGACTGTAGGCTTTAAGAATTTAGAAATAATACCGACCGCCAAACGGGCCGCTAAAGAAGTTTGAGGTCTCACCTTAAGCGCACGCCTCCGTCTCCTCAGCAGGCCTGCTTCCTCTTTGGTGTAAGTTCTGCTACTCAATTTGCAGAACTGACCGGGTGTTACGCCACGGACAACATAAACGCACAACGACAATCTTAAGAATTAAAGTTCCCTTCGCGGAAAACGCGCAACAGATCTCGCCACTGCCGCACACGGAATGATAATGCACTCCCGATCAGCTTGACGCAAAAAAAAAATTAACGGCCATACCGCGGTAAAAAAGACAATAGTGATCAGGACCTAATAAGCGAAGGATTTAAGTACCTCAAAATACACAAAAGGCAAGGCAAGGCAAGTAATGAAATCACAGAGATTACGCACTTGGAGATTTAATTATGTTCAAGAAATTAAAAGATCCATGATTTACCTTGATGAAACATGGTTCGATACACAGGTTAGGATGATTCCACTGTCCAACTGTCAGTTGCGCCTTAAAATAAAGGAAAACGCATCACCATTAAACACACTATGCTGTTGAATATTAAGGATTTCAGCTTAGATTAGTATGAGGATAAAAGTACCGAACTTTTTGAAAATTGTTTTCCAACCAATCTTTTAAAAAATATTCCCAATAACAGTATTATTGTCATGGATAACGTAAGCTACTACAGCCGTTTGCTACGCAAAGCACCAGCTTCATCAAGTTCAAAAACTGAAATGCAGGAATATTTGTTAATATTTTACGTCTTCCTGCATATCGTTGCATGTTTAATCAAATAGAGCATTTGTGAAACCAAGTAAAATCGAATGTCAGAGCAGAAAATGTTAACATACCAATGGAGAGCTGGAAAAATTCAGTACGGCACATTATAAAAATTGATAATTCTTACATTACTATTCGAAACAACACAAATCCTATTATAATTAACCACAATGATGACTCTAACAGTCAAACATATTTAGATTTATACATTTAGAATAAAAATGTAATTTTTTATGGATATTGCTAGCTATAAATTTATTGCATATATTTAATGTCCTGTTTGTTCTTAGTGTAATTTAATTAGATTA